GAAGGTCGACGGAAGAGTCGCCGAGATCTCTCGGTCGTTCCGCTACCACGCGCCCACCCCCTTCGATCCTACCAATCGTTGCGGATCGATATATTTCGTCACATGCGGCTACGATATTGGCTCTCCGTCTCGACGGTTTACAGGGTTCGGCGCTCGTGCCGCGCGGGCAACAGAGAATGTACAGTCGGTATTTCATAAATTTTGTCGGATCGATTGTTACATCGAGCATCGATGTCGAGGGAAAGGATTTAAACATCGAGTGTCGATGTCGAGGAAAGGGTTTTAATTTTCCTGTCACAGCTTTTGCTTAATAAAACTTCATTTTACAAAATCTTTTTTTCTAGACGTTGAATCTTAGTTTTATTTACACAATATTGTTCCTACATGTTGTTTCTAATACCTCGCCTGGGTGTCATTATATATATATAAACTGCAGTAATTTTGTTATTGTCATCGGATGATAGTTGTACGTGCCCAAAATAGTAAAATTTTTAATTTTTTTTGGTTTCCGATATGAAATCGTGTGTCGCGATGTAAATTTCTGTGCGTACTTTAATTCTAGACCAAAAACTTACAATTCTGTAAAGCCAATTCAAAGATTTCTTAAAATGACAAAAGTTGCTAGAAAGTTAATTAATCTAATTTTTAGTACGTGTATATTTTACTTACTACAAAAACAATATAAAAAACATTTCTAAATGGTTAAAAAGTTATTTACGCATCACAAAGACCATTTATGTCACGTGCGTCTTGAGACTACGGACTTTGATGACTGCCTAGATACAAAGTATGGGCAACGAAATAACTGCGTCACATGATACTAGTTGAATCAACCTAAACATTCTGGATTACCCTAAACAGTCAATGACCTAATATATGGTACCTCGTGGCTCATGGTGCCCCGGTCTCCCCTACTTGATTTAAGAAATTATTCAAACTTCGACTTACAATATCTCTCGCTTAATATTAAAGTTATTCAAAAAACTGTAAAGGACTTTTCAATACAGTTTTTTATGTGGAATATGCGATTTCTTTAATGACATACATCAATCGAACACTCTGTATATATAGTGTTGTAGTCAAGATATAACAGTACAAAATTACCTTTTTCCAAAAAGGTAAAAAAAGGCGCCAAGTACACGCAATGTATTTTGTAAATCTAAAAATCCAACCTAAGTGGAGTAGCTTTATTTTTTCTTAACAAAATTATATCACAAAACTGCGTTACTTAACTCAACCTAATAGTGATATGTTGTTTCAAAAAATATATGAAATCTTTAAATTGCGCCAATTACAAAGAGAATATAATGGCTGGAGCAGTATAGAGAAGTTAACAAAAAGAGACATTCAGAGTCAAGAGAGAGATGAAAGGGTAAGAGAGTCTAGATATAACAGGTGGTACAGCGAGATAGCAGAAATCAGAAGGCCAGAATACCTAGAGAAAAAAGGGAAAGAGAAGTCCATGATCAGTATAGCGAGATTTAGGCTAGGTAATGAGATGAGAGGTGGAAGATATTGGGAACCAATAGTGAAAAGAAGCTGTAGAATATGTAGTGCAGAACCAGAGACATGGGAGCATGTGTTAGAGCGGTGCACAAGAGAAGAAAAGGAGGAGAAGCCAGAAGGAATTGGAGAGAAAATCATAAGGATACTGAATAGTAAAGGAGAGGGAGAGAAATGGATGGCAGAGCTGGAGAGAAGAAGAAGGCAGAATACAGCGGTAAGTTAGTCAGAAAGATTAGAGAATAATACAGATGATTTTTGTTGAGGAGGACAAGTGGAAGGTATTGGATGCAAGGAGAAAGGAAGAGAGCAGATTGAGGGTGAAAATGGACGAGGACAAATCGGTGGAAACGAGGGTAAGAGAAAGAGAGGAGAAAGAAAGGAGAAAAGAAAGGAGAGGAGAGGAAAGCGGGAGGCCAAAGAGGACCGCGGAGGAAGAGAGAGCAAAAAGGATGGAGGAGAATCTCCTTATGGATACGGACGAGGACGAAGCAGATAGGAAGAAAAAAGAATAGGAGGAATTTAGGATGGAAAGGAGAGATGAAGGGAGATAAGGAGAGAAGCGTTAAGGGAGAGGAAGGGTGAAGGAGAAGGAGGTAAGATGTAAGACTGTAAGAATAATCATCTTAATACAGTTATTTTCAGAGTGACGGTAGAATAAGAAAAGAAGGAAGGCGTCGAGCATGAGGAGGGAGAGCCGGAAAGAAAAGGGAAGAGCAGCGACAGAAAGGAGGAAGTCAGAGGGGTGCGGAATTAAAGGAAACTGAAGGAGATGACCAGAAGGGTGCCGGATGGAAGACGAAGGGAAGGGAAATGAGATGTGAGGTCGCTCAATGACCAGGTCGGGGAAATAAGAAATAAGAGTAATTATAAAATTCGTAATTTATTGCATATCCCCGTAGGGTTCGCAATCTGCTACTATCCTTCTCCTCTCACTTTAACCCTTTGGACCAACGCTTAACGTCTCTTTCCGAAAGATGGAGCCCAGTTTTCTCCGCACAAGAGCCTATCTTGCACGGAGGGGCGCAGCTATCGGAAAAACATTCCATGCTTACATGGCTCTAGTGGACTCGAACCTGGTTCCTCATTGCAGATTACGAGTCTGTCGCTCTACCACTAGACCACACTGTCGCCCTATAAGAGAAATTATATTATAGATATAAAATGTTATGTGACTAATGTGATTGAATGTATAATATGTATATGATTTTACTTAAGTTTGCTTGTAAAGGTTTTTGGGAACGTTTTTACTGAAAAAAAAAAAAAAAAACGCCTTTCTCCAACCTCGGAAGGGGATAGAAATAAAGATGATTGATTGATTGATACAAAGAGAATATATATATTGCTTTGAAAAATAATTGTTGTGCAACTACTTAAAAAAAAATAAAACTTAACCCTCAGGGTACGATCTGGGTTAGCGTAACCCGAGCGAATTTTGAAAGTAGCGGCGCCATTTCAAAGGAAGTGAATGGTGGGGGTCCGTACCGGGGGGGGGGGAATCTTTGAGGTAGCTACTATGTGAGCGCCAAGGGGCAGCGTCAGTCTACGCTTGGTACTCAAGTTATACGATTTTGAAAATTGTACCTTTTTTATAGATCGTACCCTGAGGGTTAAGTAGTATGTATCTTTGTATTCCATTCAAGTGTCTTTTTTCCCATTCCAATCCAAGCTCTAATTCTTTTTAACAAAATTATAATATTACAAAGAATCATTTTAATCACAAAGAATTAAAAAGATAACAGTACAAAATATAAATATTTAATTAAAATAAAATAAATAAATTTTTCTTGTAAAAAAACTTGGCGCTGCTAAACCTCAAAATTTAATACAATACTAAAATTTTGATTGCATTTAATAAAGTATCAAATTTTTGATTAAATAAAAAAGCAATAAACATAATTTAGGGAAGTATGCGACGGGAGTAAAAAAGCAGCGCCAAGTTTTTTACAAGAAAAATTTATTTATTTTATTTTAATTAAATATATTTGACCGAAATTGGTGGTCATTGTTTATTAAAAAGATATAAACAAAAAAAGTTTGGTAATACTGAAGAAGAGAGCTCACTCCTCTGACTAATATATCCTATATAATATATCAAAGTACATTGATATATTGACAACATATGTCAAGGTTAAGGTCATTGAGGGCGGGGGGGGGCCCTAAAGTGCATAATTACCCAAATCTTCTATTATAATTAATTAATCATCTAGGTATAATGTTAACGCGTCGACATGAAAATGATATATAAGTTGTCTATGTTGTGTGTATATATATATATATATATATATATATATATATATATATATATATACATACACAACATAGACAACATATATATATATATACACATATATATTTTAATGCTCCTAGTTCATGTTAGTAATAAATGATAAATAAGTTATTTAAAATTTCTTTTCAGGAAATAAGAAATGATTCTGTGTAAAAATACTATGCAACATTTGTTTTTATTCAATTCTTTTACATTATAATAAAGAATATAAAAAAAATCCGCTTAATACAATAAAGAATGTAGAGAAACGCATGAATTGTATGCTTACGTGTAACATATATGATAATCAAGATATAAATATAAGTTAATAATATAAAGTTTTTGATCTACTAGATCTATTTCCTTCCATGTTTTTTGAAAGTATGCAAATTAGAAATTTGCACATTGCTTTCTCATCATTTTATTTCGCTCATAAAGCTTCCTCTATGAAGAAGACATACTATTTTATGTTAATAATCATGTTGGTGTAATTTAAAAAAATTGAGTTTGAAAAGGAGCAATGATAACGATTTGTAATAATGAGGAAGCAATGTGCAAGTTTCTAATTTGCACATTTTTTTTAACCATTCTTCCTTTAATGATACTCTATCCATCAAATAAAAATTATACATTTTTTTAAGCAGAAATCGGTGATCCCTTCACCGATTCTCGCCAAATTTAAAACAACCTTTCTTTAATAATACTCTACATAAGATTATATGTATAACTTGTACACTTTTTAGGCAAAAATTAGTAACCCCTTCACCGATCCTCGCCAAATTCAATACCAACCTACTTTTAATGATACTCTTTCCATAAAAAAAAAAATGCAGTTCAATATCTCAAAATTTACGGAAATTAGAGCAATTACGTAGATTTTTCAGACAGAAATCGGTAATCCTTTTATTATTAACAATTTTTCTAATTTTATTATATTCTTTAGTCTTTTCAACTCCTATTTCACATATAATTCTTTAAGATTTGATCGATTAGTTCTTGAGCTATAGATAAATTTGTACATAACACACACACACACACACACACACACACACACACACACACACACACACACACACACACAC